CCCCCCCCCCCCTTCCACCCGCGCTTGAACAACCCCCACAACAAAGTTGCGGGCATCACTCGAGTAAAGACCCACAGCAGACAGAAAAAAAACAGCAAGCTGCTAACGCAGACAGGAAAGAAGGCAGATTTTATCAATTCAAGACGGAATACCCCCAAACCCCTCTCCCCGTCCCTCGCCAATCCACGCACCCCTACCTACCCTTTCGGTTCCAAGCAGGGCCATTCCGATATTCAAATCGAATTTCCCCAACAGATTTCGATTTCACTTCCCGAATAAATCGCAAATCCTCAATGCCCCTGAAACACACGCTCACGTGCACACCTCTTGGTTTACACCCCTTCGACCTGTATTAAAAAGAGAGAGGACCAATGATTGGCCGGTCTAGACTGGTCCGCATAATGTTCGCCAAGCCAAAAAACCATCTTCCATGGTTTGCGCGGCGGAGGGAACACGCAAGAAAAAAAAAATCAAGCACAAGGAAAAAACAGCAGATCTTTCCAAGAAAACACCGCTTGTCTGCAGCATATCACCGCCCCCCGACGACAGAAATTTTCCCATTCCCCGCGGCACCCCCCTCTCGAATTTTAGCGCCCTACTCCTTCTCGTTCTCGTTGTCCCCCGACCTCACCAGCCCCTTGAACGACTTTTGAGAGCTGAAGAATCCCAAGCGTCCCGTCTCAGCCCGTGCCGGGGAAGCGCCGCTAGCGGCGGCTGCCGAAGAGCCGTTGGCGACCTTGGCCGCCATGGGGCTTCGCTGCCGGGACTTGAGCGGGGATCTAGACTCCGACCTAAACGAACGTATTCAGGGCACGGTGCCCCCCATCACCACACGGGGATAAGACACACAGAGAGAATATTTGAGGTTGACTTCTGCTCTTCCAGATTCAATTCTTCTTGTGGTGTATGGAGAATACTTCGTTAGCAAGCGGAAAGGAAACTCAGTGCGTGTCTGTGGGATGTTACTGCATAATTTTCGGATATGCCCATTGGGGGATCTACTAGTGGTATTGGCGACGACGATGACTCTAATTCAACTCGACTCCAACAAGCACAACGGACGCGTCCTGAAACGGTGGTGACCGCGTGCAATACGCGTGCGGAGGCTTTTGAGGCTCACGTACGTCCTGCACAAAACCAAGAGCTGGGCAAACAATCAAACTTAACGAGAAACGAGGCTGGCGAGGCAACGAATGGAACTGGAACAGGCTGTTTTTCACCCGCCAATCAGGATACGTACGAAGAAATTTTCGATTGGTTTGTTGAACTAAGCCAAAACCTGGTTCATAGTTTACGTGTCGACCTTCTTCGGGCATTGGGAACGGGTACGCCTGCCGACGCCATGTGTTCGATTGGAAACTTTGCACACAATATTCAAGGGATGTTGATTCCGAACCTACGGGTTCTGATGCCCAACAAACGCTTCATGTTCTCATGGCGACCGATACACATCCAGTGGCGGTCCCTCCGTGGGCCGGCCGGTATGTGCCCGCCAATGTCACCAGCACCACAAATATACCGGGCACCCGGCAACATTCATAGAACGAGACAACGTGAACATATTTCATCCACGTCACGATTTCAACAGTGACACTATTTACGTTTCCCCACTCCCAAAATCTGATTTCGGCGGGTTTCGACGGGCAACGCGGACGCTCAAAAATCAACGTGATTTTGACTGACACGAGACTGGGCGATTTTTTCTTTTTTTCCATCGCTCACACCTCGGCGGTGATGGTGATGGCGAGGACTGCGGGGAAATAGTGAACATCGACACGAACTTGTCCATGAAGCTCCCGTCCTGCGGTGCGGTGCGGTGCGGTACGGTACAGCGCAGCGCGGCGCGATTGCAAAAAATGCGGCGAAACTTCGTGAAACGGGCCGGGCGCGAGCGAGCACACCACGACCACGACTTTCTCTCTCGCGGCTGTC